CAGTACAGTACAGTACAGTACGAAGAGAGAGAACACTAACCTTACTTGAGGCGTGGAGGACAGGAAGGTGGATGGGGAGGCGGTTATTGCTTGGGGGGAGAGTCCCCCTCCCTACAGGAAGCCACAACCACGTGTCACAGCAGGGAAAATGGCCGCGGATCCTGTTTGTCACCCAATGCGGAGTTCACGAACGGAAGCAAAATTTTGAGGACGGTGCTGTTCGTGACCCAAATTGGTCATGAACAGAAGTGTTCGTGACCCGAGGTACCACTGTACTGGGTATTAAATGAAATGGAATAAAATAATACATTGTGGGGCAATATTACAAGTAGTTCTCGGTTAATGGCGGTAATTGGGACAGGAACTTCCATTGCTAAACGATGCGGTTGTAAAATGTGATGTCATGTGACCACATGACTTAGTGATGGCAATCCCTGCAGTCCCCATAGCTGTCATTAAGGATTGTGGGTCGTTAAGCAAGGACCTCCTCGCAGCTTCCTGCCAGCTTCCAACAACCAAAGTCAGTGGGGAAGCAGGTAGGAAGTTGCAAGTTGCAGGTGGCTTGCAAGCACGCTGGCAGGCAGTAAGTGGCTGCTGCTGGGTGGGGGAGGGTGCGCAAGGATGCACAGGTGGCTGGTGAGGCGCAGGGCGAGTGCAGAGGGACTGGAGGAGGGTGCATGAGGGTGTGCAAGTGGCTGATGAGGCGCAGCAGAGCTGAGGGTGGCTGCTGCTGGGTGGAGGAGGGTGTGCAAGGGTGCAAGCACTCCAGAGCCGCAGCACGGCAAGAAGCCCTAGAGCTGCGATGCCTCCCCGTGCATGGCTGGGATAGTGAACTCAGCAGAGAGGAGGCAGGCAAAGACAACAAAGGTCAGCTGGAAGGGTGCTGGTGGGGGCAGTCATAAATGCAGGCTGGCTCAAATTTTTATCACATGACTGTGGGGGCACTGCGATGGTCATAAGTTCAAGGACCAGTTACAAGTGCTGTTGTAACTTTGAACGGTTGCTGAAGAGATGGATGTTAAGCGAGGAATACCTATATTGCTTATTTATCACTTATTCAAACAGATTTATTTTCCATCCTTCTAGTTTAGATATGTTATTGTATTTTTTATTATTTGAGACTGAAGAGGAAAAAAAGTTTTACTAATGGATGATCACCATCTGATTTTTAACCTGCTGTATGTTTACATCTACCGTATGCAATTCTTCAAAGTTTATTTATAGTTTTGGACCCAGAAATATTGATACGCTGTGTAGGTTCCTGTGGTCTTTTTTGAAAAGCAATTGGCAATTTTTCATTGCCTACCTTTAATTTTAAATGGATTTTTTTTCATGAAAGGTTTGCCACAGAATGTTATCACTGTGCAAGAATGGAAGAAGCAGATATTTTACTTCTGGCCCCAAATACCTTTTCAGGAGTGGTGCTTCAATATGAGCAGAATAATTGGATGAAAAGCAGCATTAGCTCTGATGGTATACTACTGTGTTCTGTAATGCTTGCCTTCATCATGGTGGCCCCATGGTATTTAATATAATGCCATTGTTTTGGTATTGTATTAAAAAGTCCAATTGTTTGGTCTGTCTTTGTATTTGAACACTTTGGATACAGAATTGTTCAGGATTCTTTTAATACAAAGTAGTGTCTATCCTAGAAGGCCTCAGATTACCTTAAAGTGGGGATGGGACAGCTTGTGGCTTAGGGCTATGTGCAGTCCTCAGCGTACGCTCATGCAGTTCTAGCCTCATTTAAAAAGTTTTTTTGCAAGCTCTTTCAATTTCTGGCAATAGATATCTACCCTTCTTTCCTGCCAGGCAGGGGAGGAAAAAGAGTAAGAAAGATACATGCACGTGTGTGTGTTTGAGAGAAGGAGGAAAGTAGGCTTAGCCACCTTTGGCTCCTGGCCTGTCTGCTACTGGTTTCAGCCCTCTTCCTCACTCACATGTAACTCAGACAGGTTACTCCTGAGCATGGGTGTCTATGGAGGGACAAACGACAGATACGCATCATGACGTTGGGACACAAATTCTGCCTCTTAAGTATTTGCGTGCAACATCAAAAAGCAAGTAGGAAAGGGTGGAGTTTGGGTCATGATGTCATGATACCCATTTCATCTTTTTGGTGTCACTGAGGTTAGGTACAGATGCCAATGCTCCTGGGGAAGTAAAGTCCACAGCAGAAAAAAAAATCTGTCCTTCTTAAAGGACAGATGATGAATCCTGAGTCTCACCTGTTCTTTAACTCAGATCAAAGCAGAAATCTGCTGCAAAACGGAGAAGTCTAATATTTTCCTCCTGTTCAGACATAGACATTACTCATTAGGCATGCAAAGAAGATGATGATCCACAGGGCCAAGTCAGATGGGGGGTAACTTTAGAGCAGTTATTTAATATACATACTATTCACCAGCAGAAGTAGTAATATTATGGGTTTTTTTCCTCAGTCACTAGTTGACTCTAGCTAGGTTTTTTTAAAGAAAAAGTCTACACAGGGAACATTTTACATCTCAGGAAAATTTCAAGTAATTTTAAATTAGGTTTACTACTGTGAAATAGTTGTGGTATAATGAGAAGTTAGTCCTGTCAGGACCCATATATAAAGGCATTTAGTAAGCCAAGACCAGTGTACATACAAGAAGATATTAGTAGATGTGAATTCTTACCCCTTGAGAAAAATAGAAGGCAGCAATTCCCAGAGGCCAAAAACAGCAGAGCATTGAGAAAATGGCTAAACCTAGGTGGTCTCGTGGAGGAAGCATCAGAAAATTATCTTCACTCTCGCTGTCACTTGAAGAGTCACTCTGGAAAGAAAATTAATTCGAGGACAGTGACCAACAGCAAACTGTAAACCTGGCCCACAACGCACCCAGCAGGACTAGAAATCCAAACACTATGCATGTTTAATGTTGCTGCCTTGACAACATATTTCTCCTGATACCTGGTAGGCAAATAACTTTCACAGGGCAGGAAACTTCCCAAGTGAGGAATGTAGTACAGTCTCAATTTATTTTATTTCTTTAGGTGGATTTAAATATACTAGACTCTAGACAGCTTTGGCTGCTGCACATAATAAAAACTGGAATAATAATAATAATAATAATAATAATAATAATAATAATAATTCCTAATATGCATCAGGAAAGAACATATAAAACAGAACCAAAACATGCCAAACAAAAACTTACAGGAGCTCACCTACCACCCTGTCCTAAGGCCTGGGAAAATAGCCAAGTTTTCAGTGCTTTATGGAACATCATAAGGGTGGAAGCCATACTACTATTCCAGAGGGCAGGTGTCGCAACAGAGAAGGCAGTAAGTCCAGCCCAAACTCAAGGAACAGAGTCAGCCTCCGGGATGAGGGATCCTTACCTGCCATATAACTGAGATTAATGTGAATAATCCACTGAGAAACGAGATCTAAAAGATGATATTTAGGCACAGTCTCCACCACTGTTTTCCCTCTTAAAAATGAAAATACTTGACACTGCTAGGGAAGCAGATATGCTATCTAGTATGCTGACTGAGAAGTTTCCCCTTGGCTTCAGACCGTAACTCATTTTGTTTGAGTGTCTAACAGATATTTTATAGACTTCAGTAGGATTTCATTGAGACTATAGTAGACGAATGATTTTCAACAATTAATATATTATTTGTAATTTTTAATTTTATGCTGTGTTGATCTACTGAATCCTAGCTTATTTAAGGATGGGGTCGGCAGTCCAGACCCTCCTGTGATTACACTTGTCAAAAAATGAGTGCAAGTTTCACATCATTTTGAGAAAAGAGTCACATGAAAACTGTTGTGAAAACCCTGAACAAGGTTTACCATAATTAAAATATAATAATACAAGAAAAGGGCCAAACTTCCCCAAACTTTTTAACGGAAAAAAGCAGAAAATCTTGGCCATTGTTTCTTTATTTACTATATATTTATACTGCCATACTCCACAAAGACTCATGGAAGTGCACAATTAAATCTGAAAACCAAAACACAATGAAGTAATAAGCTGAATAAAATAAAAATAATAAAATCACAACTTCAGCAGTACAGAAAGAGATACCCAGTGACAAAATGTCAGTTCCCAACATAGCTCTGGAGATCCAAGTGTAGTCTGGATCTTCAGAAGAAGGCTGTTCCAGGTTGTGATGCTGGTAGAGAAAAACACCAATTCCTTGCCCTCTCCCAAATTTCCTGTGCGGTTAGGATCCACATGAAGCAGACAGTCCGGCAGATACCTGGTGCCAAGCCATGTAGGGCGTTATTGATCAAACCAGAACTATACGTTGTATCCAGAAATCTAGGGCAACCAATGCAGCATCTGCAATGAAGGTGTTATATGCAAGTATGGGCTCTTACCTGCTAACATGTGGGCTCCTTTTTCTGCCAAATCTATCAACAGTTGCCTGCTTCTCTCATCCCATGACCAAGAGAAGTATCTTCAGGCTCAACCCCTTGGTCCTGCCAACCTCCCAAATCCTCATTTGTCCAACCACATCTATTTGATTCTGTTGGACAGGCTGGACATTTTGAAAAACCACTTAGACCGGCTTTTCCCCACTCACACAAGCACCCATATCACTCTCATTTACCACTCCCCATTCTTTTCATTAATAAAAACCTTTGAGGCAAGTCTTCCTCCCACTCTATTTTCACTGGAGCTGAGGGAGACTGGTTTCTCTATCTTCCACTTCCACTTTACTTTGGAGAGGGGGTGTTCTTTGCCCAGTTTCTCAAGGCTGCGTACCACCAACCCACCAATATGACCTTTGTCCCTCCCCGTAAGATTGTGATCCCCATGATTAGCAAAAGGCTGCCCTTTCTGGTCTTGTATGATAACAGCAACCAAAAATATAAAATTTGTCTGCATGTGTATGTGTAAGGGGGATGGAAATGGCAAATATATTTGTAAATGTAAAAAGTAATAAGAATACAAAACTAATCCAATAATAATATTGGTGTATAAATAAGGAAAATAAGAATTTAATGTTGTATCAGGCCCAAAAATGTCTGTCTTCAAATCATTTATTTCAGAAGAATCCTAATTTTTATGGGTTTTCTTGTAAGAATTCCCAGGATTTGAGCAAAAGACTGGCCTTTAGGAAAATAAAATAAAGACAGATAAAAATGTTAACAGCTTGAGTTGTACTATATTAGAGTTTTTTTTTTTTTATCGCTTTATAGCTTAGTGTCAAATATATGGGTTAGTAAAAAGTTCAGCTTCTTTCATCTGAACTTGCTTTCCAATTATGGATACTTAGAGTCACAATCTTTTGTTATCAAATAACTCAGTGTGAATTAGTAACACAGAAAATTACAATAATAATAGTGATGATCGTGACAATAGTAATACAGAAACAATGTTAGAACACTACTCACTGCTATCAGCTTCCATCCTTGATGTAAAGCAATTGGCATCCTATTGATTTTACTTTTCTCCCACTGAAACCTGCTTCTTCTGCATTATCTTGCTAAAATATTTCTAGGACATCTATTATTACCTTGGCATTTAAGTAGCATTTTCACCCTCCTAGTTTTCCTCTTATTAAGTATTTTGCAGTATTTTTTCCTCCATACTCTCATTTGACCTTCTTTCCAGCTGCATTTTCACATACTTTTATCTCCTTAATACTGTAGTTTCACACTGGGGGAAAAATGGATTTTACAATTCTATAAGCCATATCTTCTCCATCCCCTTAGTTATGGGGCAAAATGCTAACAATAAAAGTTCTTGAATTACAACATATTTTCATTTTCCCTCTCAAGCTGAATTCTCAATTTACTAGTTGGGGATTTGGGATTTCACTGGAAAATTATTTTTCCTGAGTATTGGTGAACTGGAGAAATTTTTCATCTTTAAGTACATTCCTCACTTAGGTCCTAAGGTCCTAAGCTACTAAAAATTCATCTTAGCTGTGTTATTCTTAACTAATTGTGCTTTAATTTCTAATTCTCTGAAATAAAGGAAGCTGTCTCTTGGGTAGGAACAGTTATCATGTGATAGATATCTCCGTTTTGTCTACTGTTATTGCTTATATATTAAGCATTTAAAATTATTTATTTAAAAATTAGTCCTAAGAATGTGCACTCAGAAGGTTCCAGGTATATATTATGAGTGTACCCTAAGAAATTTACCTCATATTCCTGCAATTCCTCTTCCTCTACTTCATAGGATACTGTTTGGATTTTGATGTCATTTTCCATTAGAGATCGTTCCTGTGTTTCTTGCTCATCAGAAGCATCGGTGGAGGGCTCTTTGTTTTCCATGAAGGTTGTCTCACAATTGTCACCTTTGTTGTCCTTGACTTTGACACTGCTTTCATCCTTCACCAGGATGAAATTTGGACCATACAGTGCTTCAACAGCCAGCTGAAGAGAACTGGCATCCAACAGCTGGTGAGTCCTTGCATTACCTGAATTTTGGAAGATATAGGAATATAATTTGCCATGGCAACGATGGCCATGATAATCCTGGTGATAAGTATAGCTACCATGAAGATGTCCATTGCTCTTGGCCAACAGTGGATTCTGAAGTTCACTCACACTTTCCATTCTCCAAAAATTCAATGTGAGATCCTTCTAAGACAAATTAGTGCCCTGAAGGGAAACAAGCAAACAAAAGGATAATAATGCATAAATTGTAGAAATGAATTAAAGAATTCAGCAATGATTGCATCTGTGCTATACTAAAGATATGTCTGTCTTGGTGGAAATCCAAGGACTGCAACCATATCAGATATGTTCTAGGTTGTATCTTGATCCACAGCACTTGAGCAATGCTCTTTAGAAAAAAATTGATGGAGCTCTCTTTCTTAAATCAATATCAGCTTTTCTTTTGTTCCTGGGATAATGTTCAAAAGTATTACTAAAGAGAACAAAAATACAGAAGAATAAGTCATGATGCAAAGAAATCAACATGGCTTTCACAGAGGAAAATCATATCACACTAACCTTTTTGCTTTTTTGAGAGTGTCAACAATCATGTAGACATGGATGATCAAAGAGTTATATGCTTGGAATTTTCAGAAAGCCTTGGACAAATCTGTCACTGAACTCAAGTGCCATGGGACTGTAGTGCTATCATGGATTTGCATCTGGTTAAAAAATAGAAAACAGAAAGGAGGAATAAACAGGCACTTCTCAGGTGAGATATGTAAAGCTGGTTTCCTCATAAATCAACATTGTGGCTTTTTAATTTGTATATAAATTATATATTTTTAAAAAATGTGTATATAAAGTTTGATGGCCTTGGGTTCAGTCTGCTATTGCTTAACGCCAGGTCTATTTGTAAAAATGTCACATTTGTCTACAAGCTGTTTGTGCATGAATGAGCAGACCTGGCACGTATTACCAAAACATGGTAATGGTTAGGACCCACATATGGCCTTCTCTAAGATTTGCCCTTCTGGGTTTTGGGTCCTTCAGCAGCCACAACTCCAAGGCTTGATGGGTGCATGGTGGTGTTCTTCCATAACACCTTAATTGTAACCAGGGTGCTGCTCTACAATTGATGGGATGAAGGTGCCTCCATATGAAATTGATTATAGCAAAAGTTAGGGATCTTGCTCATGTACTGCCCCTTCTGCTGCTTGATAAGTTCCCTTCCTGAGCTCCTCAACCTTATTGTCAATCTCCTTGATGAGGATGGGATTTGGGAAGAATCAGGAATTCATGGTCTCAGTGGCAACCATGGAATTATCCCAGATAATCTTTGGTCTGACCCTTACACGTATTTATATTTGGATCTCATGTTCATCTTGGAGCAGTTGGCTTGTGATCTGGAGGATGTGCATCAGTCCTTTGCTATGGCCAGATTATTGCCTGATTCAAATGAGATTCATTGTATCCCATAACCTCATTTGAGGTGGGGGAATTAAGATGGTCTGATACAGGTATCTTATGGATCTGGATGGATTCATTCAGCTTGGCAGGATATGGAAAGGTGACTTACGAAGTAACTGGGTCAACATCTTGTATCTGGGACTCATTTTGGGTTGTGGACTTAAGGAAGGTGCTTTGCAGCTTGAGTTCTATTACATATTAGCTGGATCTACATCCCTCTTGCCTTGTTCAGTCAACTGGGGGAATGCATGTGTCTTCACATGTATGGCAGCCTTCTATTTTCCCAGGGCTGAGCAACTGTTTCCCCACTCCCATCTTCTCAAGGCCAGAGTTAAATAACTCTATAGTGGCGAGAGGGTGAAGTAGGGCTCAGCTCTCTCATCCCTGCTTTTTAACATCCACATGAAATCACTTGGAGAAGTCAGCCATTGATTTGGAGTGAGGTATCGTTGACATGCTAATGATAGTTAACTACACATCTCTACTCTAAGCCAAACTGGAAACCTAGTAGATATCTTGTCCCGGTGTCTGGAGGATGTGGAGGCCTGTATAGGATGAAACAAACTAAAACTGAACAAGATGGAACTGGTTCTTGTTGTTGTTTTTAATCTAGAAACCATTTGCTTCTCTGTCAGCTCTGATTTTGACTCTAATGGAATGGTATTCCCTTTGAAGGAGCAAGTGTATGACTTGGAGGTCCTCCTGGATTTGTGGCTGCTGCTGGAGCTCCAAATGGGACACTGTAGCCAAGTGTTACGGTGAGATTTGTGAGTATTGCCCTGGGTTCCAACAGGCTTCTTGGTCCATTCAAAATGCTGGTTTTAACCTATTAAGGCTTACATGGCTTGACTCCCAGAATTGCTCCAAGTAGAACTGTCCTAACCTGTTTGCTTCTCCCAGGAAATGATGTTCAAGATCCCTCCTATTCGTGAAGTTTGTAAGGGAGTGGCCAAGATGCAATGGCTCTCTGTGGTAGCTCCTTTCCACTGGAATAGCTTCCACCCAAAGGTGAGGTTGGTGGGTACTTTGCTTTTGTTCAGGAAGACTGTGAAAGCTGCGTTGTTTGAAAATGCTTTGGGGGTATGATGGTTGCCATGAGATTGCAGCTAGAACTGCTGATATAAAATGTCCTTTTTACCTTAAAAAGGATATCATAGAGTTAGAAAAGGTATCAAAATGCCAACCAAAATGTTTAGGGTCCTGGAACAGTTACCCTACAAGGAAACACTTGGCAACTGGAAATGTTTAGTGTGGCATTAAAGAGGGCCAGGAGAGATATAATAAAGTCAATAAAATCAGTCACAGCATAGATAAATACATATAGAGAGGAGGTTTCATCTTTCTCACGAGGTTAGAACCCAAGGTCACTCATTGAAAGTAAATACAGGAAGACTGAATCAACAGAAAGAAATCTATTTTCACAAAGCACATATATAAATTGTGGAATTCACTGTCAGGAATTGTGATAATGGCAACCAGTTTGGAGACCTTTATGGAGGATCAGGCTACTAATATTGATGGTTGTTTACCCTTTTCTGAGTGGAGTAGTCATGTAATAAATACTGGCTGCCCACCCATCCAGCTTGTGAGTTTTTCATATGGCACTAGGTTATGCAGAATACTAAACTAGGTGGACCCATATGTTATAGTCTGGTTTGCTGAAGTAAGGGCCCAATGGTATGTTACAAACCCAACAGAATGGAAAACCTCTTTGGCTTCTAAGGGTCAGTTGGAGACAACATATCATAATGCATTTGACAGGTTCCAAGAAAAAAAAATGCTGGAAGTTACTAGAGTCTGCCTGGTGGTAAACTATAGTTGAGGATTCTGGCATAAATGTTTCTACTAATGCTGTGATTTTAAAGTAGCATTGGTAGTAGAAATAGAGTCTTTAAGGTTTATTTGAAGAGGAATTTTCAAGAAGGATACCTAAGTGGTTAAAGCATTTGGAGATTACGAATTCCTGGCACATAAGTCCCTTTCTTTAATCTTACATTTAAAATGAGCAGCTTACTTCTGTTTCCTCTCTTGCATTTCTTTAGATCATCCAATGTCATTCCAGGACTGCCCAAGCCCTAAATATCTTTACATCAATTTCTTGCAAATACCTTATTTAATACTGCACAAAAAACTGATAAACAGGCCATGAAAATGCTGCAGGGGAACAACAAATCTGAAATGTACTATATTGAAATCCATTATCAAAGTGTTAAAGATCTGGACTGCATGTTAGATAGTGCTTTGAGAACACAGAAAAAAGGAAAGTGTAGTCATTAGAAAGTGAAGCAAAGTGTGGACTTACCTTAGTTTTGATAGAAAATGACAGTATTTGGCAACATAATTGGGCATGAGAGCATGTACTTCTCTTCTGGCTGCCAGAATATTGCCTGAACATTGACTTTATTTGAGTCCTTATGCCAGCCTCATTATGGCAGGTAGTGAAATCAGACTATGAATCATATGAAAAGATGAGAAGGTCAAAGCCATCATGATGGTTAGAATGTGTTGAACATTGCCCTTTCTTCTTGGCAGCTTGAGATGGAGAACAGTAGTTGATGTAAATGCATAGTGCATTCTTTATGCTGGGTCATAACTTCCTGCAGAGTTACAGTGAATGGCAGATGGTCTCGGCACAGACCTGAGTCTGGCATCCCCTGAAGAAACCCTCTATGCATGATAAACAAGCGAGGCACACAATGAATTATAGCCCTTTCAGTTGCAATTGGTTCCAGTAAGCGTGATCTATTTTGCATGCTAAAGGACTGCTAGAGAGTTCTTCAGCGCTAATGGACTACTAGAGAGTTCTTCAGCGTTTTACTGAAGCTTGCAAGGAAGAGTGGAAATCAAGAAAGAAAAGGGAATAAAAAGCTGCTCGACGTTAAAATGTCTTCTTTCTGTACCCCGGTATTTTTTATAACAAATGTCCCCTTTGCAATAACAGTGCCTATAAATTACAGGAAACATATACTTTGGGTGCCTTTTAGTTGAGCTCAGTGATACCAGCATATCACGCAGCATATTGTAACATTCTAGGAGTTATAGTTCAGTGGCAGAGCTATGGTTCACATGCAGAAAGTCCCAGCTTTATTCTCCCATATATCTAAGTAGGGCTGGGAAAACTAATAGCCATAGTAGTATGCTTTTTTCAAAAAGCAGTCATGACCATGCAGGTCCATTTTTTAAAAAAGGTAAAATCAAGATGCAGCCAACAGAAAGATAGACAGCTGCACAGTAGGGCAAGTTTTTGAGTATTTTGCACACATTCCTATTAGTTGGGTGGCCCACAACTGCTTTGGCAACTTGTGATTTTGTTTTAAGTATGGGAAGGACTGCTTTTTGTAATGGGCAAGTGGGATTTTAAAAAATCTCATCACCAATTTTTCAGGATATTTAACCAATTACTAATTTGATCTGTTAGATACAGCAGTTTTGATATAGCCACGTAAAAAGGTCCATCAAAATAGGGCATATACATTTATAATGGCAAGAGCTGCTACAATGAGAGCTTTGTGCTTATCTTCAGCAGGAGCAGAATTACAATCCGTGATGATTTACTATTATATTGTCATATGTCCAAGGATATCAGACTGTCAGCTCATTGTAAACAGGCTTCAGAAAGAAGGGAAGGAAAAGGACTTGGACAATAACTTTTATAGAAATGTAAATTTTATTTTAATAAAACATTAGATCAGCTGTTAAGTGAAATTGCTTATCTGTGGGATATGAATCAAAAAATGAACATGAGAAGTTTGAGAGGAATGCCTCTTGTTCAAACAAATTGTATATTTTAGCAAGTCCTTGACAGCTGGGTTTATGACAATTTTCTGCCAGCATTGTCTTAAATTGAGATAGATGGGAAATTGTTGCATGAACTGACGGCTGCCTGAAGGACTGATAAAGAGCCTTCTGTGGAGTTGTCAGAAGTGTTTTGCTGGCTACAGCAGGTTTCAACATTCTGCTGGTGTTTACAGGAGGACATTGCTAATGGCCTCGAAGAAAGACGAAGGCACCAATTAATGAACATTATTTGGTTGAAAGAATATTGTCACACAAAAACAATACCAGTAACTGAAGAAAATTAAAACATTATTGGAAGATTTTGATTAGACACAAAGGAGCTAAAACTTGGGGCAGGGATGGGGAAATCATCCTAGTATATTTCAAATGTAGTCACAGGAAGCCTCTTGACACAGTATACTCCTAAATATATGATGCAGCAAACCTGCCAGCGCCAGTGAGTTTGCGTAGCGTTCTTTTTGCTCGCCTTTGAATACAAACAAGCAGTGATACTTTTGATACTGAAAAAGAAATTTTCCTAGCTGGAAAGTGTTATTTCTAAACAGCTCCTTACTTCATGTCCAATAGAAATTCACCCAGGATACCAGCTTCTTGGCAGTATACCTTAAGAAAGCTCAAGAAACACCCTATCAAATTTGCTGGCTCAGTAAGGATGGAATGGGGAGACACGCTTTCCATCCTCCTTAGGCAGCACAGAAACCAAGAAGACTGATCAGCTATCCCTTTTCCACCAACTATTAGTTAAATTTAGTAGCACTATTAGATTTATATCAAGCTCACCTATTGGGGAATTCATGGGAAACATCCATGTAAGTTTCTTGCCAGCAATACTGTATCCAAGTTACCATTTTCCAGGATTCTAGAAGGATTCTTCCAGCAACTGTTCCCTCCTGTTATAAGTCAGAGTTGAATATGTGAAGGTGTAATGTCGTAATGCCTGTACTGTAGTAAGAAAGATTCAAGAAGCAAAATGTCCTTAATTGATCCCACTAACAATATTTGTGGACAGGTAGTCCTCAACTTACGACCACAATTGGGACCAGAACTTCCATCACTAAGCGATGTGGTTGTTAAGTGAGTCATGCCTGATTTTACGACTTTTTTTTGCCATGGTGTTAAGCAAATCACATGGTCATTAAGTGCATCTGGCTTCCCCCATTGACTTTGCTTGTCAGAAGCTCCCTGGGAAGGTCACAAATGGCGATCACATGGCCCAGGATGCTGGAACCATCATAAATACATGCCAGTTGCCAAGTGCCTGAATTCTGATCATATGACTGTGGGGGTCACTGCGATGGTCGTAAGTGTGAGGACCGGTCTTAAGTCACTTTTTTCAGTGCCGTTGTAACTTTGAATGGTCGCTAAACAAATGGTTGTAAGTGAAGGACTACCTGTACTGAATAGTTCCTCACCGGGTGGCAGGTTCTAGAAAGCTCAGCAATTTCAGGCCAGATTAGTATAGTTGAATATGAGATTAATTTTGGAAGACCAGGATTATAGGCTAGTTTGGAAAGTTGAAAAAATATCCTGAAAGAAGGCAATGGCAAATCATTGTCAAGAAAACTGCATGAGTCACTGATGTAAAGTCACCCAAATCAAGCTCAACTCAAAGATGACTTAGGTTACTATTTTTGAAATATATTTCCAAAATATTGAGAAACTCCCCCACCTCAAAGTAATATAACTTTGTTATCCTGTTGCTATAGCACAGAGAAGCAGAGAATGTGGAAGCATAAATATTTATTCTTTAAGGTTTTTTAAAATTTCTCTTGCAAAATATGGCTCAGGCATCACATACATACGTACTTCTGTTTGCTAAACAGGATGTCAAGGCAGATTTCAATTTTAATGATAAAGCCTATGCTTTAACCTTCAGATAAAAGTTTCAGTGGTACTACTAGAAAGGATTCCTGCATCCTTAAAGAGCTACCACTTAGATGGACTTCTGGACCGATCCTTGTATTTGACTGGAGCAACCAGTCTGAAAAGTAAAAATGTATAAATTGATCAGAAGATTCTTTAGGACTGAACAAATGTGTGGCATCATTGCAAACCCCGTATCAGCTTTGCAAAGGAAGTCCTAATCAACTAAAGAATATGCTTCCATCGGCAGATGGACACACAAAAAAACCCTACAGAGTGTCTTTCTTTAGATAATTATTTAGGACAGGAATGGCTCCATGTTGCAAGAAGCATTCCTGTGACTGCCATTATCACTTGTGTTTTTCTCATCAATATGGGACCATCAACAGAAAAGGTCAGAAATGGCAGGTTATTAAAGATCATTTTCTAAAAAGTGAAGTTGTTGACAAAAGCAACTTATGACATTTCTGAGTTAGGTTACAAGGGGCTCAGTTTGGGCTTTAGATGCACTCATCCATCAGATCACAGACATTTAAAACCTATGACAAGCTATCTAATTTAGTAGCACATGTATTACATACAAAAGATCCCAATTTCAATCATCATTATTTCCAGAAAGGGCATGAAAAATCCTGTCTGAAATTTTAGGATAGTTGCTGCTAATCACTGTTGGTGATACTTGGTTAGTGCAATGGCTTAACTTGGTATAAGGCACCTTCCTCTGTTCCTGGCATGTCAGAACAACCTTTCTCAGCTTATGCCTTTCAGGCATATTAACTTCTATTTCCCCAGTCCCCAGCCAGCATGGCAAACAGGAATGATGAGAACTGTAATTCAATACACCTGATGTTGGGGAAAAGTTGCCACAGCGCCTCTTTCATGCCTTTGGGGAAAATGTTCTGTTTTTTGTTGATGATAAAAAAGGAACAAGTAGCTTTTCTATTAAGGGCCATACTTTTACCCCTCTTTTTGGTGACTGAAAATAGCACAGGGCAAGGCAAAGATCTAAGGACACTGCTGGAAGGGGCCAGACTTAAATTTCTGATCTGTATTTTCCCCATTCGGTTGGGATGGATATTAAGCACTGTAAGTACATGAAACCTATTAGAGGTTTAACACACCTATTGTATTGATATTATCCACAGAGCAATGCCTTTCTAGGCCAATGGTTTTTTAAAAATAGTTTCAAGCTTTTGTGTTCTCCAGAACATGTCATTAGGCTAATCTAAGGAGAGAGAGAGTGAGGGGAGGGGGCATTGTACCAACTGCATTCTTGAATAGGGTGAAAAACGAAAAGCATTTTAGATATATCTGGGAGAGCCTATTGTTGTGGAATTAGTGTTAAATTACAGCAGAAGCACTTTGGGAGGACATAGAGAAGTGAATTGCAAGTAAAAAAAAAACTGAGGCCACCATTTTTGCAAATACAACCTCTAGTAGCCAGAATCCCACATTATTCCCATCTTATACAATACGTACTGATCCCTTTTTAGTGCATAGCAACCCAGAGGTCAACTCTGCAGTTTTTATATTTACAAAGCTGCTAATTCTCAGTAAATCAAAGCCAAATTAGATGGTCATATCAAGTGATGTCCTGGTCCCAGCAAAAGACAATATTAAGTCCCCATGCCCATATTATTCAGTAGTTTATAGTCAAATTTTGGAATGTGGTCTTGGAAGGCTGAGGACCACTCAAAGGGACTTACCATTCACATAGGGCCTGCAGACTATGGTCTGCCCATCTCAGAGAGTTTTACGTTCATCAAATAGGGGTACCAAGGACATGAAATGCAATGAATGGAGAAGAAATGAAAGATGAGATCATGTCCCATCAGGACTTGTACAATATGCAAAGAAACTATGCAGCACAGCTACATCAACCTAGTCTCATTAATTAGTGTTTGCAAGCTATACCTAGGAGAGTCACTCATTGTGATGTCAATGTCCCATCAGTGCTGTGCTCAGCTGTATTCTGATTTAAGCCTCAGGTGTGCTTCCTGCATTAATATCAGCAAGTTTTCTAAACATATCCCTCAATTACTCACCCAAAAGAAGCATATTAATTGAGAGGAGGAGGAAAAGAAAGGAAAAGATGAGTGTGGAGTGGCACATTTCTTATATTTGTGATAGCTTCTGACTGCTTTGACAAAATATGATTGCCACGAACAAAGCTTCTTTTTGGTAGGAGATGCAATCCTGCTGGCCTAAGAAAGATCCGATTTATGCTAAAAAGAGGGATCCTCTGGGGAGGGAATCCATGGTAGAGCAGAGATAATGCTGAGCATATCACACATGGATCTGCAAAGCAGACTGGACATTTCTTGTGCTAAAATGTATTTTGTTTAAATTGGGTTTTATTGTCCAACATCAGGCTTTCAAGATATAAAAAATCAAACTCGATTCAAAGTGAAGCTGCTTTGAAGCAGATAAAATTTGCTGAAAGCAGCCACGATCCATTCTCATTTACCATCCATCTCTGTAAGCCAGCAGAAGGCATTGGTATTCTCATCCACAGCACTGGAACGTTCAGTGCTTGCATCTAACACTAGATCATAGCACAAGAAAAGCTAAACGTACATGCCAAGGGAAAAGTTATTAAAAATGAATGATACCAAACATGGATTGCAATCAGATGAGAGCTTGCAATTGTGTACTTTTCAATTTCTTGGGGGGATCACAGTGTATCCAGCAATGTCCCTTATGACCAGCAATTTATTAAAACTGAAGATGGTGTGTTGAAGCTCATATTAGATCAAAGAAGGTACAGGAAGCTACATCAGTAAATGTTGCATCTTAGACTTAGGAGAGTCTAGTATTCCAGTCTAATATTTGATTCATCATAGCGGGGTATAATAAAATGAATGTTGGACCAAGTGGTTTTTGCTAAGAATCTATCACAGGATAATTTTCTTGTCAGGTAAATATCTAATGTTCACTTTCATATACTATTTGCACCTGTATAGATCAGATTTTAGACTGCTTAGCCTCATGATCTGTATGCAGTACGAAACTGCATGATCTCATGATCTGTGGACAATATGGAAAATTAAATGCAAATTAGCTAATCTTGTACATTTCAGAAGTGACGTTCATACTGGGAACATGCTGTGGGCTTCATGGGAAACGGAAAAAGTGAAAGAACAACAGCAGCTTATTTCAACCAAATTAAACACAACATGACATATGAACTGAAGACTTCAGAACTATGGATGCAATTTTGAAAGTAGTGTACAGAAAAAGACAAAGCAAATCTTTGCTACTGTTATCTGAAAGAACTCCGATTAGAATTATATTAATTATCATATTAGGGTTTCTGTAGTTCTATTCACAATCTATCAAGAGCTTTATATATCATAAGTGGGCAACTTGTAGCCTATGGGCCATATACTGTCCTGCTGAAATTTGCCCTGCAATTTCCCAAAAGTTTGTTCTCCTGCGACAGATAGGAACTTCTGTTTATTTACTATACTTAGAGTATATAAGGATGCATTTGAGGCTTACTTTATTGATGGAGGTGAGGATATAACTGAATTATGAGAAGCCCAGGAATCTGTAGATGAATTATTTAAAAGGCAAGAAATCAGTAAAGGAGAAGACATTCACACGTAGCACCTTGTCACTAAGTAAATGCAAGAACATATTACTGTACCTCCTTCATAAAATTCTATCAAAATCCTCTTCCCCTTTGAGAGACATTTCAAAAGCAAATTCTCTTTCATCAGAACGGTAGGAAAAAAGGTAGGAATTTTCTCCTGAATATGGTATAGACTGCCACAGGGTGCTTTTTGCTGGGAATGCCCTCCAGTCGTGATAGTGTGATGCCAACAGTCACAACTGTTCGGCAACCTGCAGGAACCCAACAATCTGAAGCAGGATTGTTGAGAGTAAGGTGAAATTGTGTTGCACTATTTTTCCTCACAGCAACCCTGCTCAAAATTATTGGGTTCCTGCCAGCAGTAGAAATAAGTGCACCCTTTGGGGGCTAAAAATTTGCTCATCCTGCTTTAATAATCAGACTTCTCACAGT